AGATAATAATGAAGAATTTGAGGTGGAAGAGATATTAGACTCAAGGCGGCGCCGAAATAAGCTGGAATATCTTGTTCATTGGCGCGGATATGATATTAGTGAACGCACATGGGAGCCATCTAGGAATCTAGGAAATGCATCAGCTAAAGTCAAAGTTTTTCATCAACGACATCCATCAAAACCAAGATGAAAATCTCTCTTATAAAAGAGACAAAATTGAAGTAAGATAACATTCAATTTCCTAACCTTGTTTGTAACTTCTTTGCATTTGTGACGCTAATTAGATGGAGAGCCAACAACCAGCGGATTCAACTCAAGAACCTTCGTTTGCTGACCTACCGGATGAAACATTACGATTGTCACAACCTTCAAGACGACGCAATCGAGATGAAGATCTTCAAGAATGACATGTTCTTCCTCGAACAGATGGTGAGATACAACGCGTTTGGTATCACGATTTGGGAAGGGACTCTCGATGTTTGGTGATTTTGCTAGAGGTAGGAACAACTCCTGATGGTGTTCCGAATATTCTATTCGAAGGAAGTTACGAAGGCCTCAACAATGATCAAATAACTGGGTGGTCTTCCCGCCCTAGTATGGGACACTATCGATGGTTGAGAGGCCCTATTAATCATCTTCGAAGAGAATAGAGATCAGAGTATGTGGCGAATACAATTCGTCGCATCATAGATTTCCTCAACATATGATGACCGCTCCTCGTGGAACTCGTCTCTAGAAGGGGGGGTAATGTCATGGCCATAATCATGTAAGCTAATAATTACATATAGAAATAGGTAGAAGTAAGTAAAAGTAGATAAAAGTAAGTTAATTCTATAATATTTAATATAGAAGCTTCCTAGAAACTTTCTAGACGCTGCTTTGACTTCATAGGTGTCTTTAATTGACTTTTTGGATTAGAAACGTGGTCAACAAGTTGGCCATGTGCCACACATGTTGTTAGCTTGAAGATCAAGCTAACTATGTGGCCCACACGTAGAAAAACTTGCCTTGTAAGTCAAGGCATGTGTCCTACAAAGTCAACACATATTGGAGGTCCTATAGAACGTCGCCACGTAGCCCCTAGTTAGATAGTATATATAGAGAAAAGACTGAAGGCTTCTTCACTCTTGTCAACTCCTTTCTTGCTTCTAGTCCAGGTTCAAGAGTCTTTAGTTTCTTGTCTTGTGGCAATAGCCATTCCAGTTTCCTTTTAATATACCTACTTGTTTATATTTTGATTTATTATATCGAGATAGCCTTTTGGTGTATATTTTTCCTCATCGAGTCTTTGTCCTTGACAGAGTGTAATGAATGTTGTCAATTGAATATCAAAATAGAATGCAATTGCACAAGCCACTAATTACCATATATTTGACAAAGATGTAACATATCATTTCTCATCAAATACAAAGATTCTTACTTGTAAGTTTCTTATAATCACTTCAAAATTTTATTTAGTGGCATCCTTTAAATACTAATATAATATAAGAATTTAGTTTTCATGCTACTAATGAGAATTTCTTAATAATGCAAAAAATCAATTATTTCTTGTCAAAGTTGTGATAAAATTGAAAATACATAAGTTAATTATGTCAATGATATCTTGTTTTATAATAAGATTAGATTGATGTATTAGATACCAAATACAATAAAACTTATTAGATATTGTTCCAACTTTAATTTTTGGTGAAAATCTTTAGATACAACTAGTCATATTTGGTGCTCTATATCTTGATGTTTCAATTATTTTATTACTTTAATTAAAGCATATTGCATTAAAAAACCTCACCATGACATTGAATAGTGATTTATCACTATGCAATTCATCAACAAATAGAATAGCTAGGAAGTGGAAGGACATCAATTGGTTGTCATTTGTCATAGGTGAAAAAAAAAATGCAAGTGTCCAAATAAGAGTTTCTAATGGGACCATATGCCAAAAAAGAACTAACATAGTTAAATTAGGTTATATTTTTAATAGTCACCTTACACAAAATGATGGTTTGGGCACCATCATTTTTCTCTATGGACAATATCAAATATTTGCATTGCAATATTTCCAAAATATCACTTCTTTGTTATTAAATAATATGTCTTGAATAATTTCTTCAACAATTGATTTCAAGATTTTTATGCAATGCTTTCCACTATCAACAACACCTTGTTGTTCAAAATCAGTGTGCATTACACTTTATAAGAGGAATGTTAAGAAAGCATCAAGAAATTATTGTTTTGCCATTGAACATTTTGTATATTAGAACTTCATAAGATGATCCGTTACATGCTTGCTGATGTTATTCAAGCAATTTTAATAATGATTATTTACATTGAAAAATAGTAAAAATTTATAGAAATAAAAATCATAATGTGAAAAACATAAATATAATATGAATACAAATATATAAAACTGTTTGCTTTTAGTGTATCTTTGAGGTCCTGTTTTTTATTTTTTTATTTTTTTGAAAATTGTTTGATTTCTCACAGATATAATTATGTTTAAAACATGAATCATATCCTTGACAATGCAGTTTCAAATAATAGTTGGGACTATTTTATGACTTTCCAGTTTAATAGACTCCTTTGAGGCAGTGTGGCTGCAATCCACTTTCATACAACCTTTCACCACTCGTGGCTTCCTGAGTTTCCAAATTCATCAAATTTAGAAATAAAAAGAACAAACAAAATTAATCATAAAATCATGTTCACTAATTTATCAAGAAATAATAAACATATACATAACTTATGCAATAATGTGTTTTTTCATTGGTGCTTAACATCAATAAGTTTGGTTTTGTTTATTAGCTTTATTTTTCAATATATACAACTTTTATTTATTGATTATATATATTCAAGTAGGATTGAAATGAGAGTGTTGCTAATGCCACCACAATTTTTGCTATTGCCACGACAACTTGCTATCTACCACATGTCACCCACACCTTTTGTCAATGATAAATTTTCAAAAAATTATGTTTATATAATATAACACATTTGTATTATATTGCATAAATAATATAACATATTTGGAACAATGTCTGAAATATAAATTAAAAGATGTCAATTGATAATTTATATTAATTTAATTAAAATAATTAGAATAATTTTTTATATTAAAATATATATTTGAAAAAATTGAATAAAGTAAAAATAAAAATATACATTATAAAAAATTATAAAAAGTAGTATAATATATAAATTACTTATTATAACCATAAATGTATATCATTTTTAGATTTGATCTTTTATATCAAATTTATGCACATAGCTATGGTATACCATACAATATAAAGTGCAACTGACCAAAATCAAGAATGAAATTAAAACGACACTTAAACGCAGCACAAATGCATCTTCAAAGAAAATTACAAATCCATAACACTATGAATCAAGCTATCTTAAACCCTACTACAAGATAATCTAAGAGTGCAAGGCTTAACCAAATGGCTAAACCACCACCTCCAAATAAACTAAAAGTTAAAATCTATAAGAAAGGTTTCAGATTTATTAAACACATGTTATATTTTAAAGATACTGGTGACTATCTAATTGTTTTTTCATCCATTCAAAGGATTACATATCTATGCATATGTCTGTTCAATAATTTCTTGCTTGCCTCTTCTTATTATCACTATTTTATTCACACAAAGAAGTATTGGTAAAGGGTTGTTTTTGTAATACTTGATTACAAGGTATTTATTTGTGTATATTTATCTATACATGTGACCATCTATATTACAAACTTATTTATTGTGCCTTAATGATCAATTACAACATGTTAGTTCTAAAGTATAACAAGAAGCTTTAATGCTTATATATATATATATATATATATATATATTTGAATTAATAAAAAAGTATAAGAACAAAGTTTATTCATAATTATAGGCATAACTTATAATTCATATATTGTTTGTAATGAAACTTTGAATTATATATATAGTTCTGACTTGATTAATCTTCAATCAATAAAATGATATGTTATAATAATAATAATAATAAATAAATAAATAAATAAAAACACACATATTATTAAATTTTATTTGTCAAAAGATAATTAATATATAAATACTAGGATATTCAAATAATTAAATAAATAAATAAAAGCTTGTATATGTTATTATGTATTTTCATAATCTACATGAGAAAGAGTTGATTAAAACCAAGTGAAATGGTATTGTAAAAATATTATTAAACCATAGAATAGAATTAATAATGGATGCATTTTTTAGTAGTAATTCTTAATTCAATATGATGTAATGAAAAGAAAAAGTACTATATTTTCTGAATGCTGTTGGTTTGGTGTGTGTAATTATACATAATCATATGTATTCTATATATATATATATATATATATATATATATATATACATATATATATAAAAATAGAATACAACAATAATCCTGAATTATAATATAAAAATAAAACAAATAAAAAGAATAAATTTACGTAAATGTTCCAATTGCACACAATCGTACAAGCTTTCTCCAAGAATGGAGTTCTTTACGACTATTCACTTATTTCAATACTGCAATGAAAAATTGGTTGATACAATTCATGTCATAATATATCTTATTAAATCCAATTAATATATATTATTAAATATAAAGAACAACTGAAAATATGATTAAAAACTGGAAAAGAACGGCAAAAGTTGTAGCCAATCTGAGTGCGTTTATATATTAAACCTCCGCGTTAAATTCTTCCTTCATTAAATTTATATATATATATAGAGTGCACTTGAAACATATCGTTAAATATGACCAACCCGGGCCTTGAGCAGCGTAACCTGGGTCGTGGTCAGCCCGGCCGGTCATTTCTCCCGCATCTAATTTTGTTCGTCCGAAGGTCGTCGCCCTCATCTCCGCCGCGCAAGGAATCATTCTTGGGGTGGAGGAGAATTAGCTCTAAACCCTAATTCCCCAGAGCTCGTGCTGCGATCAATCGATCGACCAGGGTTAGGGTGCACAGAGATTTCCTAACATTGAAAGATTTCAACGTGGAACAATGAATGATATTGTCAATTTTAGAAGTGACAAAAACTCCATTGCAATTGTCAAATAGGCCTTTACAGATAAAATGGTGCACTTAAAAGAAATCGCCTACTCTGCAACTACTACTTAACATTTCATTCAGTATTAATTTCTGTACTGTAGGAGTAATAGACAAAGAGTGCTCCTTTTCCTATCCATGCGTTCGACTACGTTTACCGCAATCCGCAAATCAATTTTCAATTTTCAGGTAGAGTCCTGTTCATGCTGCTGCTGCTGCTACCTACTTGCTCACTGGGGTTTGCCTATTGGGCTCAAACACATATTTCTTCAAGGACTCCTTGATACCGAGCATCTCCGGGAACTCCTTTTTCAGCTTGGACGCATCCATCTCGTTGTTGCTCCTGGCGGCAACAATCACCTTGGCTTGTTCCTCGATGGTAAAGTTCACCCATGAAAGCTCGGGGTCGATGTACTCCTTGTACATCTCCATAATCTCGTTGTGGCTCACCACTCCAGGGTTGGTGAAGTTCCAGATTCCTGTCAGGTTGCGCTTCGCCATCTCGATTGAGATTGGTAACAGCTCGTCGAGGATTGTCATGCTGTTGGGGATGTTCACGATCTTCTGATACCTCACAATCTTCGAGATGAAGTTCCGTGGGTTCTGCAAGTCAGAGGAGATAGGCATCCGGACCCTTAATGTGCACACGTTGTCGAACTCATTCAAGAGATCCTCAACCTGGAAACATCCACAGTCCACAAGTCCTCAGGTTCAATACACATGCTGTATCGTACACCACGATTTGACAACATCAACGCACCTTCAGTAGCAATAAAACGATTCTACCCGAACAAATTCTGCTCAAACCCTGTCTATCACACTGCATAATCCGGGTGCGCGATGAAGTGCTTTGTCCCCCTCATCAGTCACATCAAAATAAAACCGATTGGAAACCGCAACAATTGGCAACTTACCATAGCCTTGGTCTTGGAGTAGTACGATCCTGCAAAGTTGGGGGTATCCTCTTCCTTGAAACCGATTCCACTGCCCAGGGGGTGCTTCTCGTCGTACTCGAATATACACCCAGTTGCGTAGTTTATCAAGACCAAACTGTTCTGCTTGCACACGTCCGCCAGAGTCAAAGTACCCACAACGTTGGCTCGAATCGTCTCCACCTTGTGGCTCTCGCACCAGTCCACATTGGGACGACCGGTCACACCCGCCGCGTTGAAAACATGCGTCGGCTTCACCGCGGCTATATCAGCCTCCAGAGAGCTTCTGTTCTCTAGACGTCCAGACCCGTACTCGTACGCAATCCCCTGCTTCTCGCACAGTTTGCCTAGAAGCCCCCCGAGCCATCCAGTCCGCCCATAAACCAAAAACTTCAAGTCCGGATTCCTCACTAAGTTCTTGATCGGATCCACCACCTTCGACACGATTCCATCCGCAAGACCATTCGATGTCCCGTTCGACGTCGCCGCTGCGCCGTTCTCCGCCGCAGTCTCCTCCTTCACAGCAACTACCGCCTCACCCTTCTGCATCTCAGCGAGCTTCTCCACTCCAGGCATCGTCAATGCCCGCGGGTGCGGCACCAAAGCGCCGGACACATCGCCCCACCAGTCGGGGTGGCTAGTGTACCAGTCCTTCGTCTTTTGCAGACCATCGACCCAGCTTGTCCTCTCCTGCCATCCGAGATCAATGAGCTTCTTGTCGTCAAGGAAGTACCGCTGGTCGTTAAACGGTCGGTTGTCCACCATCTTAATCGATTTCTTGTAGTCCAAGTTGAAAAGCTCACAGATGTCCTTCGCCACATCGATCACGCGACGCTCCTTCTTCGTGCCAATATTGTACACATTCCCAATGACACCCTTGTGAAGTACGCATTCAAACGCCTCAGCAACATCCTCACAATACAGGTAGCTCCGAACGTTGGACCCGTCGCCGTGAATCGGCAGCGGCTTCCCCTGCATGGCTAGCAGGATAAACTTCGGGATCAACTTCTCTGGGAACTGGTTGGGCCCATACACGTTGTTACCGCGAGTCGTGATGCAAGGGAGCCCATAGGAGCGTCCATAGGCCATCACCAACATCTCTGCTCCTGCCTTCGTGGCCGAGTAGGGGTTCGTTGGCAGCAACTGCGACGCCTCGTGGTTTCCAACAATGGCCTCCGCCTCAGTCTCCCCGTACACTTCGTCCGTGCTCACGTGAATAAAGCGCTTGATCTGACCAGTCACCTTGCATGCCTCGAGGAGGACATGAGTGCCGTAGATATTGTTCTTCGTGAACTCAAAACTGTTTCCGAAGGAGTTGTCAACGTGTGTCTGTGCGGCGAAGTGCATGATAGTATCAATTCCCTCCGTAATGAGAAGATAGTTCACTAGATCCGCGCTAGCAATGTCTCCTTTCACGAACTTGAAGTTCTTCGAGGCCTTCGACGGGAACAGATTCTTCAGATTCGAGCAGTAATCCAACTTGTCCAACACTACGATTTTGTAATGCGGATAGTTTCGGATGAGGCGGTTAGCGACATGGGAAGCAATGAAACCAGCTGCGCCCGTGATGAGAATATTCTTCGGGACGTATCCCTGGCTGCCTCCCGGATTCACCATGGCGGATGACTCTAGGGATCCCTGGACGCAACGCTCACCGGAATGTGGAAAAAAGAACTCTGTTCTGCATGAATACGTCACCAAAATAAATGTAAGAATAACCCACTGTGACTAGAAAACGATAGATCTGGTGCAAAAACTCCTCGCAAACTCGCATCCGCCCCCGAAGACAATTCCAAAATAAACCAAAATGCCGCGCAACAGCGTCAGAGTAAACCCAATGCACTCAATACATCGATCCACTTCTAAAATACCACCAGCTCACAACTTTATCCTGAGAAGCAACGCCCTTCAAAGGGCACGGACGAAGCACACCGCTAGGTTTGTTAGATCTAAGTAATATGTCCTTAAAACTCAACCATTCGCCCCTTAAAACTCAACCATTCGCCTCGTAAAACGAAAACCTCTTAGGAAAGTGTGACCCGAATTCAAAGTCCCCTTCGTCAGGTCCACATCAAGATTCTCCGAAAAATATCACTCTCCGAAAATTCGCACTTACTCCTAACGAGCCCTGTGACTGCAACTCAAGCTGTCCTAAACCCTCAGAAAACTTCCTCTATGAAGAGAACCACCTCTACTGAAACACCCACATCAATCCGATGAACTCCGCACACACGTACACCCACAGATCTAGTGCAAAGACGAGTCACAATTGCAGACTATTACAGTACCCGCATATACCTGTAAACAAGCAACGAGCCAGGGAGGAGATCGGAGATCGACGCAGCTGGGGCTGGAAAACTAAAAAAAATATATATATAAAAACCAACTCTCGACCGCAGGCTATGGAGTCCCAGTTTGTCGAGCCTGTATCTCTACGTTCTTATCTGCCTCCTGGAGAGACAACGCGGAGCAGAAGGGACTACGACAGTGCGACTACATGACTCGAGAGGAAGGTAGTCCACTTTTACGTCTTATCATGAGGGGGGCACGCCGGAAGGGGGGGAGGGGGGGAGAGAGCGAGCAGATCGGAGTGGGGGCGTCGTTGATCTAAGTACGTTTTTCTTGCGCTTATCTAATCACAAGACCACTATGACGCACATGGCAACAAACACACACACACTCCACATCGCGTCGTCGTCGTCGTCTTTTTCCTCGTCTTCGTCTTCGTCTTCGTCAATCTCATCGTCGTCGAGTCCTTCAAGAAATTTACCAAGTCCAAGTTTTTCCCCTACCCCACACCCCCGATTCTGAGTCACTCTCTCGTGGCACACACAGTTTTGCTGCAAAGGCAATCCATGGTTACTTACTTAATTATTGCACAGGCGGTTACAATTTCCAAGCCGCGTCGAGGACACACTAGGGCACAAATATAGAAACAATGCGGCAACTGGCAGGGCCCTGTGATCTCTCCCCGCCAATCCCTCTTTTCCTCTTCCCTCTCACTCGTAGCCATCGGCTGCCAAAGAAGCCTGTCTCCCTCCCTCCCTCCGTCCCACCGAAGGACCTCCACAGCCAGCAGCAGCCCCAACTCCTCCATGCGGCCCCCACTTCCCCCACCCTATTCTACTCCACCCACTGTTTTCCTGTGTTTCTTTCTTGTTTCTGTTTTCATTTTTTTCATTATTGCCATAGAAAAGGGTTTTCCTTTCCTTTCGCAGTGTGATGCCTGGACCTCGGTGCTGCACACACACCGCAATCGGTAAAATCATTGGCAGATCTAAACACTTCCCGACCACCAGCCATGACCCCCCCCCCCCCCCCCCCCGTTGGCAGGGTTATCCCTTTTTCCTATTCTCTGCTCCCATGTGCGAGGGTTCTTCACTGCACCTCTTTTTGTGATTTTATTTCTTATATTTTTTTATCTTTCTTCTTCTTCTTTACTTGTTTATTTTTTACGTTTCATTCGGCTGCTGCCAAGTCACCTATTTTGGTTTCTGTTGGGTAGAATCTCATTACCTCTTCTTCGTTTTTTTGTTTGTTTGTTTTTTTTTTTTTTTTTTTGTTTTGTTTTGTTTTTTTTTGAGGTGATTGCATTGATCATGTGGGTGCTGTTATTGTTGTTGCTGCTGTGCAGTGCTGAGGCCCGCGTGTGCCAAGGAAAAATCAACAACAAACTCAGTGTTGGATTTTTGTATTATGCGAGTGTGGGTTTTTACTGGCTGTGTAACACTGGAAATGGTGGTTGGGTTACGTGAGTCTTACCACCGTTAGTTTCTATTTACATCCTTTTGTTAATGTTCTGGAATGTTGTCAAAGTGTCTTCAGGAGTGTGAAAGTTTATGATAAGGGGTGAAATACTCATCTTCTATGGATGTCACGTTATTGCGTGAAGGGATTCAACCTTTTTTATTTTTGTTTTTGGTTTTTATACTATTTTATTGTTTTAGTGAGTCTATGATATTGTATGTGTGTTGAACGTATCGATTTATTTGTCATGTAGTTCAAAGTAATGTACCGGTTGTTGGAGTCAATCATAGCGTCTAATTTTGAGACTTTACTAAGATTGATAGAATTGAATTGTGTTCGTTAATGGTTAAATTGTAATTTCAAATGTCGTTGAGAGATGCGTGGAAAACAAGATGTTTCTGATTTGGAATTTTAAAATAACATGAGTTTGGTGTTAGATTGTTATTTAAAACATATTGTACTTTTTTCATTTGGTTTTGGAATTTTTTGGCAAACTATAACTTTTAAAATAAATTTGTGCAATTTCTACCTTGATCATTATTAGAAAAAACTTTAAAAAGGAAAAAAAGGGACTTCGTGTTAAAGAATTATTTCATTTTGAAAAGAAGTAATTGGATGATCATCTCATGTTGTATCATACATGTCTCTGGAAGGCCACCATGGAACCAATGTTACAATTGGATCACCATGTTTAATATATATATATATATATATATATATACACATATATGTACATATTTTGTTTATTGATGTGCATTATTGATATTTGATTGTAACAACATGATTCTGTTAGTATTTTATTCTAAAAATAAGTTTTTGTAACTAGTTTGTTTAATTTGATGTCACTCTCTAAGTATGCTCATTAATATTACAATAAAGCCAATTTATCAAATGTACTGCCTTACTCCATCTCACTTTTGAAGAATTTAATTATTTTCTTGCATCATAATTATTGTTCTTAATTCCAGTTAAGTATGTTGAGATAAATGTATGGTAATGTGTGTGTGTGTGTGTGTGTATATATATATCTCTCTCTATATAAACATATATCATCATGAAAGCTGTTAGATATTATAAATTTATAAAAATTTATTGTGTTACCAATTTTGATTAAGACTTTATATTTAATACTCCTCTTGATAATTAAATCCACAAAAACTCATTACTTCTATTTATTAATCAGTAATTAAGAATTTAAGTCTGTATTACAGTGCTAAATTGATAACATTCGATCTATAATAGTAAATTTATTTTTATTAAATTTCATTCATTAATAAATATAATTGAGAGAGACGGCATGGCAATATGTAATTGGACAAGGCAAGGTTATTTAGCTAGGAAGTAATAGTGCGTTTATATTAAAAGAATATTATTACTTAGATGTTTGGACAATTTCTAAACAAAAATTTGCATAATAGGATTTTTTTCTTTTAAAAAACATGACATACTTTACCTAATAAAAAGAATAATATTAGTTGTACTTTTTCAAAAAAGCTATTATATTTAAAACTATAAATTAAGTTTAAAATGTATGATTTGTCATATAAGAATAATACTTACATTCTTATATGTGTTGTGTACAAGGCTTTTTTTATCTTGAATTAAATTGTTGTAAATAAAATAATGAACTTACTAGACGAATGAATCTACAACAATAAAATGTGGAAAGAAAAAAATATCAAAAATAAGCTCATCAATATAGAATGTAACAATTATTTTGAACTGTAGAATGAAAATTAATTATGTAGGGAACTTTATTGGTCCTATACAAATAGAAACTTACATACCTATACTATTGATACGTACATTTGATGCTAAAAATAAAAATAAAATAGATGTAAGTTCTTTTTGAAATAGATACAAATTGTTTTATTCTTATAAAAAATATTATATCAATCTTATTGTATTATAAAATTTTTAATTTAAAACTCAAAAAACCATCTTTAAAAATCATAGTTATCATAATCTTTTCTATTAATTTCGTTAATATCAACAAATAATACAATCAAAATTATAAAATATATATGTATACTACAAAAGACATCATTACTTAGTTTATTTTAGATAAAATTGCTATTAAATGTAGTATTTCTTTTTATTATTATTTACTTTGGTACCATATGATCTTTATTATTATTTTTTGGAAAATTATATTATTATAATTTTTATTAGATGATCACTTAAATGCAATTAAATCAACTTGTAAATACTTTAAGAAACAACATGAATCAAAATACTAAAGGTTTTTTATAAATGTATTACTATTTGATATAAATGAATATATATATATATATATATATATGTAATTAAGATGGTACTTAAATATCTTACAATCTTTTCTATAATTGTGATATATATATTTTTAATATACTTACTAAATTTTAAATATCTTAATTATTTCAAAATAATAATTTATAATTAATAAATTAAAAATTAATCAAAAATTTTGAAAAAATCCATATTTGTAATATTTTAAAAAATACTTAAAAGTATATTATTTGATACTCAAGAAACAAAACCTGTAAGATTAAATGTCAAATGTTAATAAAATTTATTTATTTATAAAAATATTAAACATAATATTATACTTTATATGAAGCACAATAAAAAAAAAATCTATAACAATGTGCATTATTTAAAATAAAATCAAAAGAACAACCTAAGGTTATTATTCTGGCACCAATTGATCAGATATAAACAAATAATATAGTGAATATCATATACATTTGCATCTAATATTATAGTAGAAGTAATGATTGCCTTAAATTCACTTGGCATGATAAGTCAATAAATCTTTTTATACCTAAATTATTGATTAAAATTAGATATATTATATTATTAGTAATACAAGACTTTTAATAAAAATTCATACCTAAAAAAAACTTTTATATCATAAGAGACTAATTTGTCTCATAAATTTGATTAACAATTCACATGTTTTTGAAAACTTATCTATTGAATGAATTACATTATTTAAGACCTATTTTACAATTTATTTGAATTTTAAAAAATTCATAGAAAAAATATTTTATTTTTTTAGATTTTTTCAGACTGATGTTATTGTAAGTAAATATATTTGATGCTGTCTAATCTAAATTTTATTGTACTATATTTAAATATCAATATATCATAATTACTATCAATTATACGACTAAAAAAATTATATTGATAGTATAAACTTGCAATAAAAAAAATTCAGAAAAACTTAATAAAATTTTAGAGTTTAAAAAATTATATACATTTAATTTTCATTTATTTTAATTAAAAAAACATTTTGAAACATTAAAAGCAACTGAAATCACAACCATTTCGTAAATATATAATTATGTTTAAAAGAAATCTCTCTTAATTTCTAAAATAAATAAAATACATATACAAATTACAAGCTAATTTCAATCCTTCTAAATTGTATCCAAATTTTTAAACAAAATTCACTGTTTTATTTGTATATATATACACATATAGAATGGTATTCAATTGATGTTTGATCTTTTAAATGATTCCATAATGTAACTAACAAATCATACTCACTGGAGTGATGCTTATATCATTTATTTATTTATATATTTCTTTGTGTACAAAAACTGTTTGATTATCTTGTCAACTTGACTTTAAATGCATTTATCCTTTTTGATTGTTTCAAAATAGATACAAATATATGTGTATATATATATATATATATTCCTAGCTTATCCCTTTAACCACCAAGTCTACCTTTTAAAAGCATTAACACCCATATTCCATTCTACGACTTAGCAACTTAAGTATCACCTC